TCTTCTTTGTTTTCCATTTCTTTTTCCAGGCCTCGACAACCGGTAGGTACTGGTGGTTTAAGAAGGAATGGGAAGGGAGAGTACATACACAGAGTGGAGAAGAGATCAGGAGCGGAGAAGGTCCCCCAGGGTTGTTCCACAGTGGTGCAGTTGTGAATGGAAAATCTTGGGTGTGGATCATTTCTGTCGTGAGTCATCCTGATCTGGCCGTAATTGCGGTTAGATACATCTGAAAAGTAGGGGCTCTAGGGAGAGAGGACCATTCGTAGGGAGAGGACCATTTCTGTCGAAAAGAAGTTCTAGTGGTGCTGGTTGAGGATGCAGACTTCCTGATCTTTATCCAGTCTGCTGGGATGTCCAGGAGCATGGTCCCACTAGCAACGGGGATTGGATTAAGATCCTGAATGTGGGCGTGTTTTCGGCAGAGATGCAGGAAAGGAGTTCAATCTCGATTTTCTGCACCTTCCACAAACGATGGGTAGCTACCCCAAGTGAGGTAGCTAGCTCAACGGACGTTGAGCCGTCATTAGCTCCTCGTGGGAGGACACTCTGACAGACATGGGAGGACACTTTGACAGACTTGAGAGGACAGTGGTTTCATTTATTTGGGTGGTGAATGCACATAGCCAGGAATGCCGTCCACGTTTGTTCCACACAATAGTGAGGTCCTGTCTCCTACTTCACGCAGTGCACTGAGAGTCCTGTATACTTCGGAGAGTTTCGCTTGAGGAGATTCGTTTTCTCCTTTTTATTTTCCTAAAAATATGGACAAAGGTGGATTGCCCCACTTTCTTTCTCTATTTTACATTTGAGAAAATATGGAAAATGGCTTTCAGCAGCATTTGCTTTTCTTTTTTTTTACACTTGTTTTGAAATTTTAATTTGCAACTGTGTCGCACCGTTGAGCTAGCTCAACTCAGTAGCTGGACGGGCCGAGGCTGTGGGGGGACCAGTTGGAAAACAAAAACAGCAAAAAAAAAGCAGACAACAATGCTGGGGACGTGAATGCAGTTGGATGCGTTCTCCCGAGTGCTAGTGTGAGCATGTCGCGGTTTGGGTGTATCAGCCCCATGGCATTTTTGTCAGAATCCAAAAGTAAAATAAGGGGGAAAAAAACAAAGAAAAGAATCTCAAAGAAGAAGAAAAAAAAAGATATGCCGGGTCCCCCCGAGTGGCATTGAGCAGAGACTGCTGATGTTCATAGGGGGAGGGGACCACCACCTGAGGGGAGGCACAGTGACTGGCCCATCGAAGAAGCTCGGTCCTGATGCTACCGACTGACCCCTGGCCGGTATCGCGCACCTGCTGTAGCAGGTTTCGCACCTGCTGGTGGGTGCAGCTCCCGCATGTTCCCTGGAGGCTTGAGCACGGATGTGGCTGCTACGGGGTTCCTCGTAATACTATAATGACAATAAAAAAGGCCTGAAAGGCCGTCCTGTCTAGATTTGACAGGTAATTGAATTGGTTGGGCTTAAAGAATTAGCCTTTGAAAAAAAAAAAAAAAAAAAGAAACACGAATTTGGCACTGAAATAAGTTCACAGAGAGAGGAAAAACTATGCTTGCAGGGGTCCCCTCTAGATAGTCTTAGGAGTAGGTAGTGGAAGGTAAACAAACAGAAGTTGAGAGAAGAATATGGACAGTTGTGATCACTCCAATATAATAAAAAAAAAAGAAAAAAAAAAAAGAAAAAAAAAAAGAAATAAGTTAGATACAGTTGTCTGTGTGAAAGTGTGGGTACGCCCTCAAAGAGGGCTGTTCAGTAGATCGCAGGATATGCCCTGCCTTGCTGGCTGGGAAATCTAAGAAAAACGGGAAAAAAACAAAAGTAGAACAAAACGGCATCCAGAATCTAACTGAAATACTAATTACAAGCATTCTACCAAGAACCTACGTGACCACGACCCCCGCCTAACTTAGAGAAGTTTTTTTTTTTGGTTCTTGCTTTCCTGCGTCGCAATTCTCACCGACCGGCCGTTCATGTGAATGACCCCCCCCAAATGTGGCGCGTTAACGGGACACGCCCGCGAGCCATAGCTGGGCCAAGCACTGGTGAAAGAGGCCACCCCCTACCCTGCACCGTGAAAGAAGGAACCCTTGTTTTTTCTTCCTTTTTTTTTCCTGATGTGCAGGCTGTTGGGTCCTCGAGGCGCCACAAGATAGTGCCGCTCCATTAGGAAAAGTCCCGCTGAAGTAGGGCATGTGGGGTCACATTTTTCTTTCAGGTTCCGCTACGCGCTGCGCCTCCACCTTTCGCGGCACTTTTACGGTTTTACGAAAACGGAAAGAAGTGGGATCTGGCCCGTAGTCGTGTCTCCGGCCTCTGAAAGTCGCGGTGAGGGGCCCGCGGCCGCCATTGATGAATTTCGTCAATGGCCTCAATGGCCTTTGTTCTGTTTCCGGCCTCCGAAAGTCACAGTGAGGGGGCTGTGGCCGATGTATAGCGGTGTACACCCGGGACTGGTCAGCCTTCCACTGCGCACCAAGCTTTTCTGGATCGCCAGCAGGGCACTTCTTTTCTTTCTTGGCTGGCGCCGTCAGCACCTCCGAAATTTTCGTACGCGATGAAACCATTTCCACAAGGCTGCGGCCATGTACTGGCGGTTWAAACCGCCGGTACTTGGCCCCAGCCTTGCTGTGAAAATGCAACTCGTCGCCTACAAAATTTTCGGAGGCTCAGCTTATGGGACCACAATGGCTGGCGGCGCCAGTGAAAAAAGAAAGAAAGTGTGCCGCTGGCGGTTCGGACAAGCTTGGCGCGCAGTAAGGTGCCTCCAGGCCCGGGTGTACTGGTGGTAGTTTAAGATAATACCCTACTTTTCCCATGCGGTGAACTGTACCTGGCCCACCTGCTCCCACGGGGCCTCTCACTCCAGTAGGAATTATGCCCATGCCCAGAAATGGGACCGGCAATTTCGATATGCACAGAATTTGCCTGGGTATGTCCAGAATTTGAGCATTCGGGGAGTTGGGTGTAATTGCAATTTGGCGATACCAACTCTGCCCACCCCGGGTCCGGTGCAGGGGCATAGTTTCCACGGGCCATTTCCAGGGTGTACATGCAAGTTGAACGCTGGGACCGAGTATCAATGGAATTGCCTTTTTCTCTTCTTTTTTTTTTTCCTTTTGGGAATTCCCATTTCCAGGAAAGTCCATGGTGCTGTAGAGGCCAGTCACTGAGTACACAGTGATCACCTGGAGCAGTGGGCCGTGGGTGTCCTGGAATATGAGACCACCTCCCATCCCATCCTCACGTCAATACTCCTAGCTCACCCCCTATCCCACTATCCTACCTCAGTGTGACCAGCACTCAGGACCATTACCCTACCAATGGGCAGGTTCCTTGGACCTAACAGCAGTGATAGGCACCAGGGCTGATAGGTTGCCCAGCCCTGGTGGAAGCGGAATCGGACGAGCCTTGTCGAACGGGAACTTTGGACGCCAGGCACAGACAATCTGCTGCAGGCCCCAAGAGACTCCGGGCCCTAGGTTTCAGACAGGGTAGCACCCAATGAAGCAGTCTCACCGTCCTTCCCCTAGCTTACCCAAGGCCAGGTGGAACTGGGACTGGCCTGAGCGACTTGTACTCCTACCCTAAACCCTAGGGTCTAAGCCTTATATAGCCACCAGACAGTTCTATCCGAATATCAGTAGGAACTCCGGCGGCCCGTACCTGTACCTACTGCAGATACTAGACCCCACACAGTGACTAGACCCCCCCAGACTGATAGTTGTGTAGTTCGCAATGTATGTGTATACCCGAAGGCTATGTATACTCCGTGTATCTATGTGTCAAGATGTACAGACAGCACCATGTGTGGAAGCTTGTGTATATAGCCCATAGGCCATGTATAATTCGCAAGCTATGTAAATGCCCGAAGGCTGTGTGTGCTCTGTGAATCAATGTATCGACATGTATAGGCAGCATCTCCGGGGGCTTGAACGAGGTATAGAATCTATAGATTTTTTTTTCTTTTTGTTTTCGTGTTCTTTTTTTTTTTTTCGGTGCTTAGCCCACGTTTGCTCTTCTGTTTTTTTTCTGTTTTTTTTGTTCGTGCTTTGCCCACGTTTCCTCTTCTGTTGGACGGTCTTATTGACTCGACCTCCTTCTGCGGTGTGTTTGCTTTTGCTTTTTTGGCTTTGCATTTGGTGCCTTGGCTGTGTTTTCCCGTTTGTGCTATGCTTCTGCATCTCGTGTTGCTTTCAGGTCTCTCGACCTTTTTTCTCTTTTTTTTTCCTCTTTCATCTGTACGTTTCTTGTGGGGTGTGTTTGCTTTGCTTTTCTGTTCTGGCGTTGTGCTTTGCCTGTGCTTTACCCAAACACAGCCCGTGCTTTACATGGGCTTGGCCCGTGCTTTGCCGATCCGTGCTTTTGTCGATCCATTCGTTGTCGATCCGTGCTTTGTCTGTGCTTTGCCAAGCCGTGTTTGCCGGTGCTTTGCCCGTGCTTTCTCTGTTGATCCGTTCTTTGTCTGTGCTCTGTCTGGGCGCTGTCTGTGCTCCGTCTGTGCTTTTTTGCCCGTGCTTTGTCTGTGCTCTGTGCTTTGTCTTTCTGTGTTTTGGGTTGTGCTGTCTCTCTGTTTTGTCTGCCCTTTGTCTGTGCTTTTTTGTCGGCGCTCTGTCTGTCCGTGGTTTGTTGAACCGTGATTTCTTTTTTTGGTCGGTGCTTTGTCTGTGCTGTGGCTTGAGTTTTCACTGTGTGCTTCATCGTTTGGTGGCTATGGTGGGCGCAGCTGACAACCGATCAGCCGGTGAAATTGGGTGGGCGAGATCTTGGACCTGATCCGATGAGTATGCTCCTTGCGTCACTGTTGGGATGCGAGCAATATGTGGTGGACTTGGCGGCGAAGGACCTGTCCATGGACATTCACTCGGTGGCGTACGAAGTCCAAGGAGATTACGATGTTCGCGGGTTCTTGGGAGACGAAGGGGTTCCTTCCCATTTCCAGAGGCTCCGGATCAAGGCGTCGGTCATCACCAAGGAATCCGAGGTGAGCACCCAAAACGCCTGCCAATTATATTTTTAAAATTTTAATATTATAATATTCTGTGAGGAACAAGCCCTCAAGGGGCCCTATCAGACATCACATTATCTGGGCGAAGGCCCCCAGCAAGCCGAGTGCCCGCCCTAAGCGAAGGGGGGCCTGAATATTCGTCAGAGGCAGAATTCGACATTTCCATATGTGGGTATTCAGGTTCTCGCAGCACGCCAGTTGGTTGGGTAGACGCGTGAGCCTCACAAAGCTGCATCATACAGTTGGCCCAGGCCTTGACAGTTGCGCCTGGGCACATACACACAAAGCAGGGCCGATACTTTGGAAAAGCAGTACTGTGGACGCACCTGCCGAGGAGCCCTGCACAGATGCAGCCAACAGCCCAAGTCCGGAGACTCAGGCCGTGTCCAACTGAAAAGGGGCCCAGGCACAATTTGAGGGCTGTTATGACGAGAGCCTGAATCTGCACGTGTTTTAAGGCAGAGATGCAGAAAAAGCAGATTGATAAATCCTCTTTTCCGCACATCTCGATGAACACGCCCAGATTCAGGGTTTGTTCAATCCCTTCCTGATTTTCTTTCTCGGATGTGATCCTGGGCTAGCAACCCGTAAGTTGCAAAAAAAAAAAAAAAAAAGAAAAAAAAAAACACTGGACGAGTGCGAAGCAGCATCAATAATCGCAAGCACCCCGATATAATGTGGAGCAGCCAGCCACAAACAGCAGCACAGCACACGACTCTACGCATCAACCCTCTTAATCTCCCCCCACGCAGACAAGGAATGGGGAAGATAACAGAGAGGAGAGGAGAGGGGAGATGAGAGAGGAGAATGGGGAAGATAAGAGAGAGGAGATGAGAGAGGAGATAAGAGAGGAGAAGAAAAAAGTAGTCGTCAAACACGCCAAGGAGTGGGGGAGGGATAAGAGAGGCGAAGAAAGTAGTGGTCAACATGACAATGCTCCCGAATGAGGCCCTGATAGGTCATCATCGTAAGATGTAATTGATGATGACGACAGCAGACTCCTATCAAGTAGCCGACTCGTGCGAAGTATATATAGACAGTTCGGTGACTTTCGTCAGGTGCCTTCTGTCGTTCTCTAAAAAACAGTCAGTCAGTTTAGAAGGCGCGACCCAGGCGGGCCCCACCCGGATCAGCTTAGTCGCCCCAGGCCCAGGGGTGGGACTGGCTGGGGGCAAGGGGGAAAAAAGGAGGAACTTTTGCCTCAGGGGGAGTACACGTATCTAACCGCAATCACGATCAGATGCGTGTACCTGGATGTATTGTCCGGAAATCGGTACAAGGTTCCAACAACCTGAACAGGGCTGGTATCAGAAAGGCCCCGGGGCCCCAGTACCCACCCCTAGTGAAGTATATCTGGGACTTGACTGTATAGATGACCGAAGCCAATGGATAGATGTGTCATTCTTCCGAGTATTATTAGAAAGTGACAAAAAAATTTAAAATTTTTGAATTAACTTGATCCAACGACCTGGGTCGCGCCGCCTACAATTAGGAGTAGTGGTAGGTAGGTAGTGTGAGGTGAAATTGAGAGAAGAATATAGCTTTAAAAAAAAAAATAAAAAAAAAATCCCAAGGCGGTCACTCTTACGAATGAATACCGTTGCGCATCTCATTGTTGTGCCTCCTCCAAAGGTTGCATAAAACTCTTTTTATAGAACTCGAAGAGGATCCCAATCGGCAGGCAGAGGGTCAAGTGCCCTCCAGACCTGGCCAAAAAAAAAAATGGGGCCTCATAACAAAACTGTGTTGCAAGTCACAGGGAGAGTACACGTATCTAACCGCAATCACAGTCAGATGCGTGTACCTGGATGCATATCCCACGCATGACACATCCACAGATCGGCCAACCTTTGTGCAGCCTGTGGAAAATCATTGCGGGGCCTCATAAACCATCGAGCCCTTCCAACCTTTGTGCAGCCTGTGGAAGATCATCGCCGCGGTAGGACGGGCTCGATGGTTTACGAGAGGCAAACAAACGAGCATGCTTCCATGATTAATTCCCTCAAAAAAAAAAATATTATTATTATTTTTTTTTCATGAGAAAAGTGGCGACAACCTTGAGATATCGCCGCGGAACTGACCAGCCCAGGTAATTCAGGAATTTGCTTCATCTGCTGCTTTCGTAAACTTCCGTCATCGTTTCAGGAATCGAACTTGGGTCTGCATTTCGAATTTCAACAATTTATGGGTGTAACAACTGAGCTAAGCCTGCCGGTAATTTCCTCAAATTGTTTTTTCACGAAAAGCTTGAGAACTGCGGCGAGCTAACCTGCGACAAGTCCTGAAACAGCTCAGACGACCTGTTCCGCTGCTTGGCATGGTCACCCTCCATGTCAACAGACGGCCGTAAAATCACACCCTGGGTTGATTCCCTGCCGCGACAACAACCTGAGCTTTATGTATAAAATAAATAAATAAACAAAATAATTTTAGAAATCACATATTCAAGCCTCACACTCCGCTGCGTAAGTGCCAATGGGCCTCGCTGCACTACTCTTGAAATGCACAAAAGACAAAAATCATGTCGCTGTATCTTTCCATGTTCTAGCGGAAGATTCACTCTCGTTTTGCACCTTTCAAGAGTAGTGCAGCGAGGCCCAATGTTGCAGCAGACGTCCTTGTGCGTTGAACGTTCCTAATCTATATGGTCTTCCCCCCCCTTCCCCCCCCCAACAACATAACCAACCCGGATAATAAACGTATACAAGCTAACTTTCCAGTCCGATACAGTCAAAATAAGGGTGCACTGTTGTGTTCGGGGGAAGATTGTAGCAACCAAAACACGATCATTCGCAGGATCCGAACAAGATCCTTTGCAGGAACAGACAACTGATACGGTCTTTCCAAAAAAAAAAAAAAAAAGGAAAAAAAAAACTGATACGGTTGGCATTGTATTGCAAGTGGAAATTCTCAGATGCGTCTTAAAAAAAAAAAAAAAAAAAAAAAAAAATCTCAGATGCTTCTAGCACACAGAAAGGTCGGAGACCTGCTGGCAAATCAGAACCCCCAGCAAAAAAAATAAGAAAAAAAATCCGACTGCACTGGCGTCACTGACAGCCTCCGGAGAGGAGGCCCCAGACCTACGTAACCATCCCTAAGAGACCAGGGGCCAAGTCCCATTACTACAGTAGTAGCAGCGTCCAGTTTCCTCAGCTACCGAATGTGGACGTGCTTATGGAGATGTGCAGAAAATTGCGAGTGTCGAGTTTCATCAACCGCACATCTCCACAAACACGTCCACGTTCGGGCCCCAGGAAATGATCTCCCAATGAGACTCTCAGAGAAAAAGATTCAGAAAAAGACAAAAATACCGCCCACCGTGCCACCGTCGGTTGGATCAAAAACAATTCTCAGATGTTTCAAGTGATTCATTCATCTGAGTAATTCATCCTTTTTTTTTTTTTTTTCCAGTAATTATGTCTCAGATGAATCACTCACATAATAACTGGAAAAAAAAAAAAAAAAGATGAATTACTCAGATGAATGAATCACTTGAAAGTTGAAACATCTGAGAATTGTTTTTGTTCTAACCAACGGCAGCGGTGGGGGGGTATTTTTGTCTTTTTTTCAATCTTTTTTTCCGTTTCAAATTTCAAATCAATTCTTGAGTGATTCCTGGGTGATTCTGAGGCGATACAGACCCACGTGCAGGTCCAATCTTTTTTTCTGTTTCAAATTTCAAATCAATTCTAGAGTGATTCCTGGGTGATTCTGAGGCGATACAGACCCACATGCAGGTCCAGGTGCAACCAAGATGAACAGAATAAATTAATTCTGAATCACCTGGAGACCTAGGTTACCAGAGTGGCGCAGGGTCACTTGCCCGGCCGGGCCAACAAAAACAAAAATAAAAAAAAAATACAAATGATTTTTTATTCTAAATTTGGTGAAGAGTTTCGATGTGACCTTGAGGCAAAAGTTGTTTAGTTTATTTTT